AAAAGTTTTCTTCATTTAAAATGGAGAGATCTTCCTTAAGCTTGTTATTTTCAGAGGATGTGAATTCATGGGATTTTTTAAGTTCATTGAATTCAATCTTGAGTAACTCATGTTTTTCCATAATTTCATATAAATAGGAAGTTAATTCATAATGAGTAAGGTCAGAAAATACCTCTTTGGATAATACCTCTTCTGAGTGAATCAGATTCTGCTTCATCTTCTGGAGGGATCTTTTCCACATACGTTCTAACTTGAGCCATTAGCACCATGTTAGCACATTCTTATTCTGAGTCATCTTCTGAAGAATCAGAATCATCCCAAGTTTCCACCAGCCCTTTCTTCTTGCTATTGGGAGCTTTCATTGCACTCATAACAAGTGACTTCTTTTCTACTAGACTTCCTATGATCAGAAGTAGACTCGAAGCAACCACTTGTCTTTCTAGTACTTTTGAACCTGTTGCCTTGATTTCTCTTTCAGATACGGTTAACCCTTCTAGACAGGAGAGACAACTCATCTTCAACTTCATCAAAATCTTCTTCTGAATCCTCAATAACTTCATCTTGAAGAGCTTTCAACTTCTCAGATCTTCTGACAGATTTGAGCGCAATAGATTTTCCTCTCTTCTGAGGTTCATCTTGTTCAAGCTCAATCTCATGACTTCTCAGAGAACTCACCAGTTCTTCCATAGAAGTGTTGTTGATATCCTTTGCAAGCTTTAGTGCAATTACCATAGGCCTTCATTTGGATGGAAAGCTTTTGATAATCTTATTCACGTGATTTGACGTAGAATACCTTTTGTTCAGAACTCCCAGTCCTACAACTAAGGTTTGAAACCTTGAGAGCATAGTTTCAATTGTTTCATCATCCTCCATCTTGAAGGCTTCATACTTCTGAATCAAGGTCAGAGCCTTGGTCTCCTTGACTTGATCATTTCCTTCATGAGTCATTATGAGAGAGTCAAATATAGAATTAGCTGAGTCTTTATTTGTAATCTTCTCATACTCAGTGTAAGAAATAACATTCAACAAGATGGTTCTTACTTTATGATGATTCTTACAATCCTTTTTATGTTGATCTGTCATAGCTTTCCTTTCAAGTTGCTTTCCATTTGCATACGTGGAATGTTCATAGTCATCAACTAACATATCCCAAAGATCAACATCATGACCTAGAAAGAAACTTTCTAGTATACCTTTCCAGTACTCAAACTTTTCACCATAAAAAATGAGAGGTTAAGCATTGTAGTTATCTTTATCAGAAACTAGAGCTGGTGGTGGTGGAGTAGGATCAACCATAGTGTTTCTAAAATTCGTCGGGATCTTTATCTGATATGATTAAGTGTTTGATAAAAATCAATACCAGAACCAAGCTATGATGCCAATTGAAGGTGCGAGAAACACAAGAAAGTGGGGGTTTGAATTGGGTTGCACAAAATTTAATCTTTTCGCAATTAAAACACAAAGATAACAAGTGAATAAATAAAGGATGAACACAATTATTTTTATCCTGGTTCCCTGTTAACTAAGTTACTCCGTTCCGCCCTACAAAGTGATTTTCCTTATACACAAGGACTTAATCCACTATAATCAACCATATTATAGACAACCACAATAAGTCTGATCAACTTTATTGGAACCCTCAGTAAATCCATCGATCCTTATTGCAAATCCACTATGACCGCAGTCAAAGTCTTCTTGAGAATCCAGACTACATAGAGTTTCTCAAGGAACCAATCAATAACTGTTGATTTACAAAGATGTGTATACAAATATGCTTATGCAAAAGCAGATTACACAAAGTTTAAGTACAGCAACACACAAGTGTTGATTAGCAAGATACGAACAAAAGCTCCTTGCTTATTTACAAAACTATACAAAGAATTTCTCTACAGAGTTTGTGCATCATTTTGGTGTAATTTTGTAGAACTGATTAGTTGATTTCAAATTCTTCCAAATATTTCTTTTATAGCTAAAAAAGAGATTCATTGGAGAGTAGAATAAAAAACACAAATATAGATATTTTGTTCCCAAGCTCATGGTGGGAATGGTAGATAAAAAATACATAAAGGTTTGTCCTGACACCACCCTAGAGAGTAAGGTTCACAGAGTACTTTGTACTTTTATATTCACCATTACACGTAATTCCTAGTCTTGATATTTGTCTTTTGCATCTTCAAAGACTTCTAATTTGTATGTTGATGAAGCATGTTGTAGAAGGATCAGAACCTTGTATCTTCAGAACCTAAGTCTTTAAGTCTTCAGAGCTTGTTTAGAGAACTCTTGCCTTCAGAGTCTTCAGCACTTGGCCTTCAGAAGAATGTTTGCAGATCTTCAGAAATTTGTTCAGCAGAACCTTGTCTTCAGTATCTTCAGAATTTGGAACAACAGAAGTAAAGCCTTAGAAGGCCTCCAAAGCTTTCTTACATAAGTCATGATCATAAACCCTTGTACTAACGTTCCTTATAACCGTTGCATAAGAAGTATTCCAGAATCTTGACTTAACTTGTAACACACCAAACTTATTCTTCCAGAGTGTTGAGTTCAGAACCTAATGACGTCACACACCTTCTTACCAGAGTCAGAACCTGTTTAGCAAAAGCTACACACTAGACATAAACCATTAGAGTACACAATTATTCTATAAGATAACATGTAAAGTTATCATCAAAACATAAGGGCAAATGCAGAACCAATCTTGTTCTTACAATAACTCTTGACACTTGCATAATATTCTATGTAGTACTCTCATGATGGGCCAATTTGATATGCATATTATTCACAATATATTTACATGTATGAAGACTTGATAACTCCTTATCTATGATCTATGAGATATGATCATCAGTTTATCCACATAATAGTCTCAATACTTTAATATTATTCCACTTCACGAGAAATCTTAACTACAAATACTTTAAGAATAATATACTTATGTTTAATGGAGTACCATGATTAATTCACACCTAATGCTTCATCAAACGAATTAGTTATTCTAGGGACTTTATTACTTTGGAAGAAAAAAATATAATAAAAAATACCTTGTTATTATTAATAGATAATCTTATACAAGTATCAAGTTCTAATAAAACTATTGGCATGAAGGACTTATACTAACATTGATCAAATTTGATAAAACAGGAAAATTGGTTAGATCAATCTTAGGTTGACAAGCCACAAGTACTAAAGATCAATTCTAGGATGTTAAGAAGTTAGTTATATGGTGGTTAGGTAGTTACAACTAACCCCATAGGTGGTTATTACTAGTTCTGCATGTGGTTACCACTAGTTCTATATGTGATTACCAGTAACTTTGTACGTGGTTATATATATATATATATATATATATATATATATATATATATATATATATATATATATATATATATATATATATATATATATATATATATATATATATATATATATATATATATATATATATATATATATATATATATATATATATATATATATATATATATATATATATATATATATATATATATATATAAAAGTTATGTCACTCATATTTGTATGAATAACTAAACATAATTTAATACATCCTTAATTTGATCTCTTTCAATTCTCTCTTTATTTTCTCTTCCTCTTATATCTTGAAGAGCCATAAAACTCACGCTCTAATAGATTTGGTATCAGATACCGATTCTTGATTGTGTAGAATACATAGATTCAAAAAAAAATTTGCAATTATCAACCAAGTTAAGATGAGCGGTGGTAATGACCTCCCAAATTCACTTTCAATCCTTGATGGCAAGAATTGAGAGAGATGACACAAACAAATGAAGGTTATATTTGGCTATCTTGAATGCAAAAGAGGCATGTGATATCTTGATCAAATAGTATGAATGATCTGACAAAGTGAAGGGTCTTAAGTTGCAAATTGTGAGAAGACATAAAGAATTGTTTCAAATGGAGAAGAATGAAAATGTTTCAACTTGTGCATCAAAGGTTCACGATTTGGTTTTTACATTGAAAAGTTGTGGTGAAGTGATGACCCAGAAAATGGTGATTGAAAATATGATGAGTATACTCACTCCTAATTTTGATCGTATGATAGTTGCTACGCAAGAATCTGACACCTTAGCAACTATGAAGATTGAGCATCTTATAGGGTTTCTATAAGCACATAAGTTGATGATTCTTGAAACAAAGGTAGTGTAAGAGTCAGTTCAAGCTCTGCAGACTCAAACTTTCAAGAAGAATTATGGTTTCGAGAGACACAAAGGCAAAAAGATTTAAGATAAATTCAAGAAATGTACATGTTCAAGTTCCCATGACACCAAACTTGATGGTATACCTGAGTTCTTGAAGAAAGGAAGGTGAACATCAAACTTCAACCAACAAAAGACTCAAAGCAAGGACAAGAAACACACTCTATTACCACTAACTTAGTTAGATAATTATTAGTATGATCATATATAAATAATGTAACTCATATTTGTACGAACAACCAATCATAATTGAATACAATCATCACTTTGATCTCTCAATTTTTTTCTTCGACTTATTTCTTGAATAGTTTTTAAATTGTTGCCGCGTGCGCAGAGTTGACACAAAGTTGATTTTTATAAGAATTTAATGGTAGTGTACCGTGAGTGTAAAGAATTATTACACATATATTCAATCAGAATATTTTTAAATGTCAAATCATACAAGTAATTTAAAATTTTACAGTCTAATTTAACGGGATACATAATTGTCATTGATTGACATCGTAAAAAAAAAATTTACAATGTCAATGCTCCATCCCTTTTCTCTTTTTATAATTATATTTACATTAATACAATACTACAGATTAACGCACTAGTTCTTAAATGAGAGTCTTGTTGCCATCTCTCTTAATATTTTGCAAAGCAAAAAAAGGTGCATTAGTTCTATATCTCAAATCATCAAAATAAAAATGAAAGAGATGTGAAATAAAGCTGAAAATATACATACAAAAACTCCAAAAAAATATTAAAAATCACAGTCTTTGAGTTTCAAACTGGAATAGAGGGTTCATCATTGGGACCCTGCAAATTTGCAATACAAGTCCTTGATTCAAGAGACTGAAGACCTCTAACAACTTCTAACATTGATGGCCTTTTCTCAGGTACCACAGAAGTGCAGTTTAGAGCAATATCTAAAGCACCAACCATTTCTTGGTGACAAGAATCTGATATTCTAGTGTCAAGAACTTGGTTCACCCCATTAGTAATGTTCACTTTCCTTCTAACCCATTTCACTATGTCAAGTGAAGAGTCATCACTTGAATCTGTTTTCTCAGCCTGTCTTCCACAAATTAGCTCTAGCAATACAACACCAAAGCTGTACACATCCAATTGTTCACTTGCTTTCTTATTATATCCATATTCTGCAATGCAAAAATACAGTTTCTATGTGAGTTAATGTGATAAAAACTATTGTTTGGTTTGAGTCAAAACATTGTTCAATTCAACTCAAATTCAGGTTTATCACACACTAAATTAATTATCATAGGAAACTCTAAGTTAATTAGTTTGCTCTATTATTGGAAATTGATAAGTTCTTGTACCTGGAGCAATGTAACATGAAGATGCAGCTTCAGAATCCAAAATTGATTGAAATGCAGCTTCTCCAACAATCCTATCAAGAGCAAAATGTGTAAGTTTTGGCTCAAAGTTAACATCCAACAGAATGTTCTTTGACTTGACATTTCTATGAACCAAGTGAGGAACATAATCCTTGTGAAGATATGCAAGTCCTTGAGCAACTCCGATAGCAATCTTCAATCGAACTCCCCAATGCAGCTGAAAATTCTGACTACAAATCAAGTCCCCTAAGCTTCCACCATGCAAGTATTCATAAATGAGAAAAACCGACTCATCAGAGTGACAGAATCCAAGAATCTTAACAATATTCTTGTGCCTGATTTTAGCCAAAGTTTTAACCTCAACTTTCAAACTCTTTGAAGACTGGTTTCCAAATTTGACCAACTTCTTTACAGATACTAAATCACCACTAGGTAAGCTCACAACATAAACATTACCGAAAATTCCATTTCCTATTGAGCTTTTATCATTCATCCCTATAAGAAGATCATGTTCAGTAATTCTGAGAGGATAGAAGAACACCGAGCGCCATATCGCAACTTCATTCCCTTTGCTAGATCTCCTATACAATATAAATCCACCAGCAACAAGAGAAATTCCAGCAACAAATGCTAGAGAGATCAAAGCACGCACCAAAGTTGTAAAACCAGAGGCAACGTGATGTCTTGGCTTGTTATCATCAGAACATGAATTTGGCAATCCAGGACCACAAAGACCAGAATTTCCTTCCAAAAATGACGCAGGAAGACCGGAAATCAACGAGTACGGTACTCTACCAGATAACTGATTATAGGAAACATTGAAAAGTGCAAGCTTCAAGTTTTGAAGACCTTGTGGAATTGAACCAGTGAGATTGTTATCCGAGAGATCAAGGTAAGTAAGCACAGGTAGTTCAGCTAGAGAATTAGGAATTTCTCCTGTTAAACTGTTATCAGCTAAAGAAAGTGAAACTAATTTCCTGCATTTTTTCAGCTGAGGGATATCACCAGAAAGAGAATTGTGAGAGAGATTCATGATACTCATAACGGGTGAATCACAAAAATTAGGAGGAATTTCACCATAGAAATGATTTAAAGAAGCAGAAAACCTATATAAGCTTTTAACTAACCCAAGACCTGAAGGAATTTCACCATCAAAAAGATTATTATCAAGCTGAACTTGCTCTAACTGAGAAGCTTCTGAGATTAAGTCAGGTATTTTCCCTGTAAATCTATTGTTTTCACCTCTAATGAGCTTAATTCTAGGAAGTGAAAACAACCCAACAGGAAAATCACCAGAGAACCCATTGTTCTGAACTTGAAACCTCTCAAGACTCTTACATTCACTAGTTGAATTTGGTATCAACCCAGTAAACCCATTTGTATGAAGACTTAAATTTATAAGCCCTTTTCCTCCTCTACACAAACCATCCGGAAACAAACCCAAAAGCTTATTCTGTGAAACATCAAAAGAAACAATATTCTTAAGAGAAGACACAACACTCTTTGGAACCTCACCAGTTAGATTATTCTCAGAGAGATCTAAATGAGTTAAACTAACCAAACCCTTCAAAGACTCAGGAATTTCACCTTGGAAACCCGAAGTCTGCAAAAGAAGTTTCTTCAAATTCCCAAGCTCACCAATATCCTCAGGAATCTCACTCACCAAGTAAGGATTCAAAGACAAATCAAGAACTTCTAGTTTAGTCAAATTACCAAACACCTTAGGCACATCACCAGAAAACAAGTTAGTATTCATATCAAGCACTTGAAGATTCTTCAAAGAACCAAAAGCATCTGGAATATTTCCCTCTATACGGTTTCTACTCAAATCAAGCACTGACAAAGCAACAAACATCGAAATCTGAGAAGGGATAGTACCCCAGATGAGATTATTACTAAGATTCAAACTTTTCAATGAACTACATTGAGAGAGATGAAGAGGGATAGGTTGGTTAAATGCATTGTTAGCAAGGTTGAGATCAGAGAGATTCGGGAGGTTGCATATGGAAGATGAGATATCACCCGAGAGGTTAAGGTTTTGGAGGTTGACAGAGGTTACTGAGAATGGTGATGAAGTTGAAGAACAGGAGATTCCTGTCCAGTTGCAGAAGTGGTTTAGGGAAGTGTTGGACCATGTTGATAATGTGTTTTTGGTGTCTTGAATGGTGGATTTGAAGGAAAGAAGGGTTTGGGTTTGTGATGAAGATGAAGATGAAGTGAGGGTGAAGGTTAGAGAAAGAAGGAAGAGGAATGTACAGAGTGAAGACATTGTTGAGTGTGTTTGAGAGTCAAGTGAAAACTGGTTAAGTTTTTTGGTGTATTTATGAGGGTTAAAACTGTGTTTGTTTTGAAATGGATATTATTACTGCTTTTTTTATGTGGTTGAAAGAAAAAAAATGTTACATTTGTGAACCGTGTATACTGTCTAAAAGGGTGTCAAAATAGCAATAGGTTATGATAGTTCTATAGAGTATTGTGCTGATGTAGTACTAGTAGGTTTAAAAGTTTATTCTTTTTATAAATGCATTGCATTACAATTGTGTTTGTTTTCACCTTTTGGTAGATAGCACAGGGCAAAACATAACCCTTGATTGGTGGTTAGTTTCTCTTTTGATTTTCTAGCCCACCCTAATTAATTATGTTATTTTGACTTCTTTTTTTAATAGAAATTTCAATTTTGTTAAGTGATGAAAAAGTAGTACTATAAATAGGGAAAAGTTTTAGTAATATTAATATATTTAGATCTATGTTTTGAACTTGATTAAGGATTTTTTTTATAAATAAAGGGATTGTATTAAAGCAAGTATAAAAGTATTTAATATGAATATAAAAGAGAAAATAAAATAACACTACTTCATTACTTCTATAGGATTGTATATCAAAATTATTTTAGAAACACTTAGATGACTATATGATCTATTGCTAAGTCAATCGGAAACTAATGATTTTGCCACAATAATAATCTTGACTCATTTATCATTTATGATTAACCAAATAGCTCTCACCACAGATAATCAAATAAGGATCCTATAAAAAAAAATTTACCCCCTCACGCATTAATGAGTCAAAAAAACAACAAATGATCAAAAATGTTAATAAATAAGCTAATATAAGACACACATACTCAACCCCTAATATTGAGCCAAATCTTAGCAGCAACAAAACAATCAAAAAAAAGGTGAAGATAAGTCTCATCTGATCTAAGACATAACGGGCATACAAGATTATGAGCACCTGAAATGATACTCCTCTTAGCAAGTTTATCCCTCGTTTGGAGCCATTTAAGAAGCAACCTCCATGCGAACACTTGAACATTAGAAGACACATTTGTTGTCAAAATACAATTCAAGATTGACTTCACATCATTAGTCGTAATTTCTGAACCACACAAGAATACAACATGTCAAAAGGGATTTAACCAAATACCCAGCTGATGTCCACTGCAACACAAACTGATCCGACCGCGTAGATATTGTGGAAAAATGTTGCAGAATGGCCATGAGACTGTCATACTCTACTGCAGTAATAGATCCTGATAAACCACAAGCATCACACTGAACCTCTGACGGCAGTTACCCTAAAACCAAGAGTCGACTGCATTGTTCTCTAGCCTCAATGCCTACAATGTCCAAAATAGAACCAGAAATTGAATGCATAAAGAAACGTTACCAATCCAACAGTCCCTCAAAAACTCAACGTCGAAACTATTCCCAACCTTGCACGATAAACTAGAATTAAACCAGTTACTATCACCAGACTAAGCACCCAACAAAACCCTCAAATTCCTCCACCAAAATGAAGATTTTGAATTACTAACCGACAACGAATTATCTCGAATCACATTCTATATGTCTTTGTATTTGAATGAAATAACTTTGTGCTATAATGAATCTTCCTCTAACAATATATTCCATCCTCATTTACTCATTAAAGTTGTATTAAACAAATCACAATGTTTCACGCCTAGTCATTCTTCTACTTTCGACATAGAAATTATTGACCACGCCACCCAATTGATCTTCTATGGCTTTCTTGACTGTTCCGCAAGAACACACATTGAATCTTGATAATATCTTGAATAACTAACTACCTTCGGCGCTTTATAAAAGGAGAATATGAAAAGAGGAATTAAAAATTCAAAACCAAATTAAACAAAGTTACTCTTCCACCTAGTGATAATTTTTTTTCTTTCCAAGAGGACAATTTATTCCTTAACTTGGCGAGAACCAAAGACCAAGTGAGTCGCCATTTTTGGGACTCTACTCGATTTGAATACTAAGAAAATAAAAGAGAAAGGGACTAACAATACATGCAAGATAATCAGAAATAACTTTTAAAAACTCCAACTCCACATTGAAACCAAAAATTTTATTTTTGCTAAAATTTACAAATAAACACGATTTTAATGTGTTTGTTCGTTGCAAAAGAGAATTGATTTTATTTTTATCTACTAGGATGCGATACGCATCGAAGTTTGCCATCTTTTCCCTTATTAGCAGATGGGTGTGGGAGTTAGGGGCTCCGCCCGAGAGTTCCTCGAGGTAGAAAGTAATGGGTTCCGATTTTCCTCGGACTCTATCGAGGGTCACGGTCTGGACAGGAGCCACGTCTATTAGCTTATTGAACTTTCTTTTCACTGAGGTCATATAAAGAGTTTTGAATCGCCCACTGGATATGACCATGGAGGAGGGGAACTTTTCCATGTGTTGTGGAAGAAAAGAGGCTCCTTGTCTTCGACGTTGTCGGGGATGTAGAAATCCTCGGATCGAGAGACACACAAAGCGACTTGGAGGGGGCCAGCTTCTCCAGAGGGCCATGATTATTCCTCGATCTCTTTCACCTTACAATTATCACAGTGAGGGGCGTTGTTTCTCTTGTACTGCCCCTGTCTTCCTGCCTTAATGAGGGTCTCGATGGTGTCCTTCAGGTGGATACAATCTTCAGTAACATGGTCGTGACTCCGGTGGTACTGACAGTATTTGGTCCTGTCGACCCCGGCCTTTGGAGGTGGAGGTTTAGGTCACTTAACCCCCCATCCCCGTCCTTGAACTCGACATTGGCACACTCCACGAGGATACGCTCACGGGGAGCGGTTAGCGGGATATACTCGGTGAAGTGTCCAGCTGAACCTCGGTGCTCCTGAGAATCGCGGGGTCTTTCTTCTTTTCTCTTATCCCCGGTTCTTTGATCAGGACCTACATCATTGTACCCCGGGGTCCCGGGCGTCCTGTGGGCGTTGTTGGCGGCCTCTTTCTCCCCGTACGTGATGTAGGCCTGGACTTTATGGAGGAGGTCGTCCAAGGATCTTGGAGGTTCAATCCTGACTGCCTTCCTAAATTCGTTGTCCAGGTGGAGCCCTCTTTTGAGTTAACATCTCTTCATGCGGCCGGTGATGGCGACTTGGATGGCCTCGTAGTTTAACCGCTCAATGTATGCTCGGAGAGATTTGTCGCTCCCCTGGATGATGGCCCCGAGGGACGCCTCGGTCTTAGGGTGTCGTTGAGAGGCTCTGAAGCTGATGGTGAATTGACTCTTCAAGCTCTTCCACGAGGTGATGGACTCGGGGGAGAGGCTTTTATATCATTCCATGGTAGTTTTCCTCAGAGTCATGGGAAATAGCCTGCACTTGATGGCACCCGCGACATTGTGGAAGTGGAGCATTTCCACGAAGGTGTCGAGGTCTGTAACGCCATCGTAAGTGTTCAAAGGTGGAGGTTTCTCCACCCCTTAGGAATAAGGGCCTCCATAATAACTTGTGACAGTGGACCAGGGGTCGTCTTTGTCACTTCGTTCTGGGTAACGATACAGGGAATGGTCAAAACGATGGTCTCTTCGACCAGAGAGATCTTTTTCCGAGTTCTCTTCTCTTTCTTGCCCTTTCTCCTTTTACTGGTAGGGGATAGTCGTTCTTTGCGTAGAGGCGAGCGATCATGCTTCTTGACGTTCTCGGGTTGGGTAATCTCCAGTTGAGGGCCTCTCTCGATGCTACGAGGAGAGAAGCTGCAAGAGTCCTTCCGTTGGTGTCTCCACGGAGGAGACTGTGAACAGGTTTCACGTTGTTATGGAGTCGGGCTACGTGAGTTATGTTCTTTGTGCCTTCTGGGGGACCGTGACTGGCGGTTCTTCTCTAGCATTGCAAGGAATTCACCATGCGCGAAAAGCATGTAGTTGGTCTGATTGAATGCTGGAATCAGGGCCTGGGTCGAGGGATCAGCATTAGAGGGCACTGGGATTTCCTAGTACACCGCAAGTTGCTCGACCTGTTGATGATGGTTATCCAGAAGGTGTGGACGAGTGGAAGAGGAAGCAGTTCTTCCATCCTTGAGGTCGTGTTCGAGGATGCCCATATTGTTGTTGTTTCCAAGGTCAGCAAAATGGGCGTTCTAGTCATTGTTGTTTGCTTGAGCGGCCATGATGATCATGAGGTTGAAAGTTTGCTTTGGTCTTAGTTAGGAAAAGACAGGGGAAGTAGTGATTCCCAGATACAACACCATTGATCGTATCTGATCAGAAGGGGATCGTTGATGGCCCACAAACTTGAGTTGAACGATGGTTGAAAGTGAAGTGGGGGGTACCTGCAAGGCACTCTGATGCCAAAGTAAGCTTCGGAGTAAACGCAAGTAATGAAAGAATGAATGAATGAGTGAATACCTGACCCTCTCGTGTGAGAGGGTATTTATAGCCTCCACCGCTGGGCCAAGATCTACGTACTGGTCCAAATAGTTAGGCCTAATAACAAAGACTGTCGAGGTTACATGAGTAGTGGAATCCAGCACGTGGTCTCCTCCTTGGTCAACTGCTTCGAGATAATAGGGAGGTTATGGACTCGTTATTCTCGGCGGGTAGGATGATGGAAGCTCCGGATAATCGTTGGTCACGTCCCCTTAGTTGGCACATGGAGAAATCACCAACGATTGTTGATTTGGGTTGTATGCCATTGGACCATAGCAAGGACGCTAGATTAGGTCTACTCAACAGTGGGCCAAGTGTGGGCCCAATCTAGAGTAGGTATGATAATTAACCCTTTTTTCTTGAGTCAGATTTTAAAACTCTAATTTTCATCTTCCTCAAACTTTTTTCTCCCTCAATTCAATTAGAAGCTTGGTTCATACGACAAACACAAATTCATTGCAAATTGCTGAACCCAAAATAAGTAATCACAAAAATGATCAGTAGCATGTTTGGATTGACTTTTAGAAGATTTATAATCAATTTAGAGGTGTAGAATTTATTCAAGGTGATTTTGAGGCATTTATTTTATCAAAAGTA